CGAAGAATTGAGGCAGTTCTGAAGGCAAAAGGGGGTCCAACCCGTTACTAGCATGGGGTACCTAATAAAGTGGCCGGTGAGTGTATATCCGTAATCCCTTAACATCCATTTATGTAGAAAATAGCAGTTAGGACGCCAATACTTGTCTCAAAAAAAGAGTCAAACACAAGGGGAAAGTTTCTAATGTGAAAAGGGCTTTAAGACCAGGAGTAACCAGAATTATCACTCAACCATTTCATCCTGAGGACTATTTTAAAGTTGCCACCAGTGCAGAGCCAGTTGTAGCTTGAACTGAACTTGCACAGTATTGGACTGAGCGTGTGAGTGGATATGAATCCACTTTTCTTCTGTACTTTGGGACACCCTAAAAATAATTCTCAGTGTAAAAGAAGACGCGAACCACTACAAGTTTACGTCAGCAGTGACATTTTAAACAATAAGGATCTCAAAACACAAGGTTTTATATAGTAAAATTATAAATAAACGAAATACTGAAGTAATAAATGACACCGCAGAGTGTATGGAGAAGGAGATAAAGTCTCTTATTGTAATGTCAGAGACCTTGGTTAACCTCCTGATTGACTGAGGAAGGATGTTTGGTGTAAAAGATCTGTAAGCATAGTAAGCTATAAAGATTTCTATGGCAACCCCTGATTCCAGAAGCAACTGAACTTATTTAACGTAGTCCCTTTTGCAGTAACTGTGGATGCACAAACAGTAAGATTTTAATCTATAACAACCACATTTAATAACTAAACAGAGAGATTTTGGAACTTAGTGTTTCAAGGTTGAGCCTTTAGTAAACATTCATGTTATTCTTATCAAATTGGCAAATATCCACAATTTCAAATATGCATACAGATTGACAACTGCACTCTGAATCTATACATTTGCTCAGATGTGAGTATGTTACCCATCATGTAGTAGCCGATGGCTGAAAATACAAGGATTGGGATGATGCGGTTGGGGAGGAGATCAGCTAAGACCTTAGAGAGGAAGTAGACTGATGTTCTGTAATAGCCACTGGAGTTCTCGTGACTGCAAATTAACGACAGAATAAAAAAAGGGTTTTTATTTACATAAATGAAATTGTTTTATCTCAGATGTCTGTTTGCTTTGTAATTGGATAAAAATGTCAAATAAAATATATTTTCTATCTGCAGGGAATAGTCCAAAAATATAAAACATGTGAATAACAGTTTTCAAGAGAAAATAGCAATACAATTAATAGTCGTACATAAAATAATCCTTTTCATTCAGTCAGTAAATGAACTGGAAGAAGCCAAGGCCAATTAGATTTAACCCTCAGTTGTATCATCCAGTCCTTCGTATTATGCATTTCAGTCTAGAATATTACTGACACATTGCTTATAGTTAAAAAAAAATTAAACATTACTAAGACATGACAGTTAAATTCTTTACTATATTTTGATAATAAAACCATGTTTCCAAGCTGTTTCCTTAATGCTCCAGATGGGCGGGAAGTATAGATAAACGATTATAAACTGATAAAATCTCCTGAAAGACTTTGCATCTCAGTTTATTATTGCTTACATGAAGATTGCCCTTTCGTTGATAAAGAGTTCGACAGCAGAAAGGTTCCCAAATACCATGTTTAAGATAAGGAAGAAGAATGCTCCACTCCTGAGGACATAGATGGGGGAAAAAAACAGTTCAGTTTGATTTCATAAACATCAAAACTGAAGCATAATTTAGCCAGAAGGATGAATTTATCTATTTATTTCAATGTTTAATGACCTACTTCAAATTAGAAAAAAACATAAAGTTGTGAGCCATCATCTTTACGTGGTGGTTTCTTATGTACTTTGTTCCTCTCTTTTAATAATTTAATTTACAGGTATTAAGTTATTTTATGCATATTGTATTTATTCATTAACTTTCAATTTAACTATATAACTTCAAAATAATGGCTCTCTTTTTTCTGTTTGTTCCTTAACTTATGTAACAATACATAAGTGTTGTTAATGATGGACTTTTTGATTGTAAACTTTAATTTTAGTATGCTTTGAGTTGACATGATACATGTTCTACTTTTTTCCCCACCACAAATCTTTAATTTCATTAAATGAAAGCTAAATAAATAATAAATACTCAGCCTGCAGGTTGCGTGTACCTGTTTTGCAAACCCTCTGGCAGCGTCAGGGGCATCTGGTAGTATATGAGTCCCACCAGAATGGCAAAAAATATATTAAGAGCCAGCTGGCCATAAGATGTCTGTGGATTCCTTAAAAGGTTCAGCAACGTCCTTCCACACACCACGCGCATCTGTCTCAGACATATAAGAGGGTTATCTTTTTATGGCCATGAATAAGCAGTCAGACAAGTACAATGATATAACAGGTCATGATACTGTGTTATAACTTTGCTTTCTTAACAAGGTAAGTAAACAGATCATCTGTCAATCATAACACTTGGGTTGTGGTTCTTATGAAGGAAAAATGCTTTCTCAACCACAGATCTGCTGACCTGATAGAGGAAGGGCGTGACATAGTCGACTGCCTCAGCATTTTTGTTGCTCACATCGGGGATGTGTTCATACACATTGTCCAGCTCCTGCATCACGTTCTGGTACAGCTGGGACTCACAGTACTTCGCTGCCAACCAGTTTGAGCCCTCCTCTTAGGAATTAGAAACATAATTGGTATGTTAAGGACAAACTTATAGGTACGTTTATTTAATCCGTGTAATAATTAGAGACTAGGCCAATTTTTTTGCCAAGAAGTTCTTGACGAGAGGAAAAATTCATGCAAAAGCAAAACAGAAAATTACAACACTATTGAGTGTTGTAGTGAGAACAATAAAGAAATATTACACAAATATGATAGAGGAAACCAGATAAATATTAAAATCTGTCATGATTTTGGCGCTGATGGCTGGCTTGATTTCTCATTTCAGTCACGTGTAGTTCTGCCCTGTTCCTCCTTACTGATCATTTAATCCACCTGTTCCTGCTTCTATTTAAACTCCTTGGTCCCAGCCATCAGTGCCAGATTATTCTTTAGCCTTTGGTTTTTAGAGTTCTCTAGCATTACTAATAGTGTTCTGATTGCCTGATCCTGACCCGTTTCTGCATTTGGACCTTTGAGCCTGCCTGCCCCTGTCTCATCCTGTCTTTGGACTACTGTTGGATTCTTCTGTGGACTGAACCTAGATCTGCCTCTCGACTTGTGGATTATCTAGCCTTCCTTCGTCAGCTCAGATCTGATCTCCTGTCACCTCTGTAGCCTTCTACCACGTCTGGAACTCCCTGCAGCCTCTGCTGCGTATTGTCAGCCGACCGTCCGGAATCATCCTCCATCTTTGGAGAACTGACTGAACTGTCAAACCAGATATTCCTGTTATAGAACCCTAGCTGCTGATACTGCAGATCCACAGCCCACTTGGTTAAATAAACGTTTCAAGTTATTCCACTGTCTGTCTTGCATCAATTCTGGGTCCTGTGTTCTGAAAATTTACAAAATCAGAATAATGAAAAAAAATAAAATAAAATAGCGATATATCAGAATAAAAACATTTTTGAAGAGTAGTTTAAACTATATAACAAGGTTAGTAAGTGTTTATCAGTTATCATTTCACATATATTGATCATTTGTTTTGAAAGCGAACTGACTATGAACCCTGCTGGAAAACTGGATGTCGCCAAAGTTTGAGGCCAACAGGTAGCCTTTGATGCTTTAGCAAATAAACTTTTATTCAAAGAGATGATCATCCAGAGCTGATCAACTCCTATGACTTGCTATGATTAGTCCTTACCTTTGCTTCTGTAGCAAGGCACGTAGCAGGATGACATATTGTATCCATTGTAAATACATACTTTAATTATATCAGCATGTTCAAAAACTGTTCTATATTCTCTGAACTAATTCAAGCCAAGCATAAGTGGCCAGATTTTTTTTTTTTTTTAAAGATTGTAAAAGTGCTCTTTTATGGTTATGATGAATGACGTCTACTGAGGTGGAAAAATATTAGTTAATTAGCAAAAGTTCTTGAAAACCCCTTTAAGAAAACCTCCCTTTATTCTAATGTACTACCTCCACTCTGTGATTGTTTTGTGGACATTGCTTCTCCGTTTGTGATGTCCAGGAAGAAGTCAGCTGGGTTGTTAAAAGGCTCAATTTGATACCCTGTCAGATGAAAACAGGAATTTTCAGTTACAATATACAATACATGTTTTTAATTGTCCGTCTTTTTAAATGACAGTAGGACTTTGAGTCATCTCAGTAATAAGAACTGTGTATGACATACCGAGGTCAGTAAAATATTCAAGGGCATGATCTGCTGCTCCTGCATACACAATCTCTCCTTTATGGATCAGGGTCAGGTGGTCGAACTGTTTGAAGATGGAGTAGCGTGGTTGGTGGATGGAGAAGATTATAGTTTTACCTCTTCTGGACAGTCTAGAAACATGTTGGAATTTTTTCAGAAAATTAACAGATGGACAACAGATATGTGCTTGGTACCAGGTATAAATAGCAGAACATGCAGTTTGTCAGCATGTTACAGTATGACGCAGGGTTTCATTGGTTTATAGAATTAGAGTACCGGTATTACATTATCAATGGGGAAATTAGTTGTAACTGTGCCACACCTCTGTAGTAGACCCATGATGCAGTTTGCTGTGTTGGAATCAAGTCCTGTTGTTGGCTCATCCAGAAACAACAGCGAAGGGGAAGTTACAAGCTCCATCCCAATGCTGCACCTTTTCCTCTCTCCTCCTGATACACCGCGCAGAAACTCAGTTCCTATCTGTGTTCAAACAAACACAAAAACACACATCTTTGTCATGATCATGGTGCTGACGACTGCTTTAATTGTTCATTCCTTTCACTTGCTTAGCTCCGTGCAGTTTCTCATCACCATTCATTTCTCACCTGCTCCAGTTTCTATTTAACATGAATGCTTCCAGTCATCAGTGCCAGATTATTCGAGCCTTTGGATAGAGTTCTCTAGTGTACCTGTTTGTGTTTTGATTGCCTGATCCTGACCAGTTCTGCATTTGGACCTCTGAGTCTGCCTGTTCCTGTTCTGATCTGTTTGACTGACTGTCTTCAGACTCTGGATTCTGCCTTTTGACCGAACCTGGAACTGCTTCCTGACACTGCCCTGGATTTCCCTTTGGTACCTCTTTGTATCTCTGATCTTCTGGCTTGGACTCCTGTGAAGCTCTTTGACACTGGCTTAATGTTAACATACCGTCATCTAATTCCAGCTTTTAGAATCAACTCTGACTTTCCCTGTTTTTACAGAAACAAATATTCCTACAGCATTATGCTGGCCTGTTTGGGGTGGCTGTTTTTAGCCAACCATAGCTTGATGTTAAATGCAAGACCATTAGCAGGCACAATATGATAATATTTACCCTGTCAAAAGATTCAAACAAATCGGCTATGGAGTCCTGCAGCTCCTTTGGAGATACTCTGATCCTCTTGGCAGCTCCTCTGTTACTATACTATATACTATAATTTCATTTTCTGTAACTGAACACTGCTTTGTAATATTTTTCAAGTTGAGGATACCGTTTTATAATCTAATCCCATTTTAAACTAATCTCCAACTTTATTCCTGACCTTTCTACTATGTACCTTGGCCTTGATGCTGTTCGCTCAATAATGTTGATGCTAATATAAACCTTAAAGGCCCTCACCAAGCAACTGCAATTACAGTATAATGACATTAGATTTCACTATTTGGGATTTAGGGGATCTGCGAAGGCAAGAGGTTGCACTGAGTTTCATCTAGGAGGTTCAGGGTCAACCGATAATAATAAAGTGGCACCCTTTCAAGATTGTTCTCTAAAGAATTTGAAAATAATTTGTAATTGTAACAAATGATTTGCATTTGGCTAAATAAATTGAAGTTATTGTTTTGTAACATGTAACGTTTTACTGTCTGCAGAGAAACTGCAGGAAAATATATCTGTAAGAAAAATGTATTTCCTCTGAGCAAAGCAATCCAGCAAACAATGTGAATGACCATTATGTCATTGATAGTTAGCCTATTTGTACTAATTTGTGCTATTCTTCAATCAACAAATGCCAGTTGTTCTAAGAACAGAACAATCCCATGCTTCCTGTCAGTGGGAGAATGCTGGTGTTTTACCGTAGGTAGGAAAAAAAAGAAGAAAAATACAATGTCTATCCAAACAGGACCACTCAGATCAACTGAAATAAAATAATTTTAAAAACGTACAAAATGTACAACTAAATCCTCTCTGTGGACCAACACCTCAAGGATGAGAGAGACTCTTTTGAGGACAAAATTTTAATATTTTGGAAATAGAAGATTGACAGTTTGAGAGAGGATTAAATTAAGTCGTTTCTAACCACTTTACATCCCCTTGCATTTTACCAAACAAACTCACAGTGAGCCAACTACCAAAGGCATGAATGAAGCCCTATCTTAAGGGGAGTTCAATATATAGGTTTGCAGAAAATCTTAAAAGCCTAAAACTTATATGAAAAAAAAGCACAAAATGTTTTTTTTTAAAAAGAGTTGCAGTTGTTTTACTGTTTTAAACTTTTTGAAAGATCAAAATAATAAGAAATGTCTCTGTACAAATTGCATATTTACTCAGGAATCTCTGATTTCTTGCAGGAAAAATTAATGTTTACTTCCGCTGAATAATTTTCTATAAAGCAGCCCTCAAGAAGCCATAAGATTTAATTGTATTGTTTTAAAGCAAGTTACATGTTGCAAAATCTCAGTACCTTAGTGTCAGCACAGTCCACAAGGCCCAGGTCTTGTATGATGGAGTTCACTAGTTTCTGTTTATCAGCAGAGGAATAATGCTTCCGGTTAAGACGCAGATTGGCACTGAAAAGAAGGTTCTCCCGCACAGTTAGAGTGCCCATCAAAATGTCATCCTAAACAACATAAAAACAAAAGGAGTGAGGTAGATGAACAAGCATTATATATTGGAGGTTGTTGTAATACACTTGCTTTTCATACCTGTACCACATAAGCAGAGCTGAGCCTGAGTTCAGAAGTGACAGTTTTACCATTCACTTGAACCGTTCCTTGGCGCAGTCCTGCTGGATCTTTTCTACCTGCGATAACATCCAGGAGTCTGTGAAAAAATTCATAAAACCCATTGTTTACAACATATACCTAACTGAAAATATATAGCAGAATAATTGAGCATAAAGAAAGATATCTTACGATGTTTTACCACTGCCTGTGGCCCCCATGATGGCATTCATTCCTGGTCTCATTATGCCACTAAAAGATAATTTAATGTACATTTAAGTTTTATTTTTTTTTTTTCCTATCCACTTAATAATATTATCACAATGTCAAAAATGGCTAGAAAGAATTTCAATTCCGTATTACAGTGTTCTATTCCTTTTTTAAATTTGACAGTTATGTCAGCTTTATTTTATACTTCAGTGTTTCTTAAAAAATGTCGGACATATCAACAGAATCAAATGGCATAAACAAATTTTACTAATTTATAGACAGAAATAAAAAATTAAAATGATATCTTATAATCTACAGTTTAAATAATTACTTGACAATTACCACTTGTGTTTCTTAAGAAATATTTTATCATAATCATAATACAGTATAGTATAGTTTACTATAGTATAGTATAGTATAGTATAGTATAGTATAGTATAGTATAGTATAGTATAGTATAGTATAGTATATGTAATATAATATACTACTTAAAGTGCACTTTTATGTGGGATCAGAATCAGAATCAGAATCAGAAATACTTTAATAATCTCAGAGGGAAATTACTTATTGGATGCCTTGAGAAGACATTTTTTGTGGTTTAATGCTTGAAATTAAATAAACAAAATATAGATTAGATCCAGTTAAACAACAACAAAAAATCCCAGAAAAGACGATTAGAATATTCACAGTCTCAATATTTGGGAATCTGGTCTTACCTTACATCTTTAAGAATATGTTTTTCAGGACCTATTTTGCGGCAGAACTTCTTTTCTTGAACAGAGTAATGCAGCCTGGTAAAAGTGACAACTGGCCCAGGTTCCTGGAAGTAGTCCTCAACATCAGAATCTGCCTTCTTGACCTTGGCCATATTCAAACACTGCCAAGTTATAACACAAATGTGAAAGAAAAATGCTAAATGTAGACTAAGGTTTCACAAAGCAGTTGCAGAAGAGTCTGACACAGAGAACCATGCAGGATAACACAGGCAGCATGTGAGAGTATATTACTCAGGAAGCTGTTGGACTTCCCCCTCTTCTTAGTCTATAGATCTGAGGGCAAACAGGGACGTACTGTAATGTTGAACTTTCCCCTCTCCGTCCTATCAACAAAGCAATTACAACCACAAGGAGATAAAGGCTTTAGTTAAACAGTTAATGAAAGCCATGTAAGGTGCCCCTAACAGGCTGACTGCAGAAAATAATTCAACCTGTTTGTTGGGAGTGCAAAATAGAATAATAAATTATGGTATACATAAAACGGATGTAAAAAAGACAACAAAATTACTAATCATTAAAGAAATTATATCACCTTTATGATATCACATACTGGCAAAAATCCCTTGTGTTACTGTGCTTTGCATAGGTTTGTGTAGCTCTTTAATTTTTTTGATAAATTAGCTTCATGGATCAAAACAACCAGTTATGTGACTGAAAAAAATGTGTTTATTTGCAAATTTGAGGAATAATTAGTGGTTTTCAAAACATTTTGAGTTTTGACATTGTTTCATATATGCAATAGATATAGGATCTATTATAATTTTTAACATATTGATATAATAATGCATGTATAAATCATTGATCTATAGATTAATTTGAGCTGCTTAGTGCTAAATGCGTGTATTTGTTTATTTTAGGTAAATTATTATATATATATGTAGTTATTCAGTGACTCATTCTTTTAATTACTGTATTTTTGGCATGTAAGAAAGCGAGATTGTCGCTTATAAAAGCAAGCGGTCTAAAACCTTGTGGCCTAAACTTTAATGGTTAGGGTGCCCTCTATCGTACGAAATGCTAAATGCCAGGCTAAACAGATGCTCCAATACTATCAACTTTGTTTTTCTCTGACCTTTTCGCTTGTGGTCTTTACCCAATCAGAATTGCTTTATAGCTAAAAGACCCGGCCCTAAAAACGAGTTAAACCAATCGAAATGCAGTTCACTGGGAAAAGGGGAGGGGCAAGTTTCAGAAATTCTAAGGTGTTGTCATCAGCGTTCTTTGGTTTGGTGTTTAACGATGAGCAGACAATAATCACAATGCGGCTCTAGAAAACGTTACTACTCCTTCGTTACCGCAGGCGGTGGAGGGGTGTATTATCTATTTCTCTGAAATAACGTGGAAGAGAAATAGTTTAATACCCCTTAAGTCCGACAAAACTCCACTCCGAACACAAAGCTAACCCGTTAGCCATGGAGGAGAGGAAGGAAGAGGGTGAAGCTGAAATCCAAGAGCACGGCCCCGAGCACTGGTTCTCGAAATGGGAACGGCAGTGTCTGGCAGAGGCTGAACAGGACAATCCCAACGAAGAGGAAAGGGAGCAGAGCCAACAAAAAATGTGGCACCTCTTTCAGAACTCTGCTACCGCCGTTGCACAGCTTTATAAAGGTGGGTCCCACACTTGCAGAAGTTCTGCTTTGAAGCTAATGCTAATAAAAGCTAATCCTAACGGTATGGTTTGTTGGTTAGACACAAAGGGCACTGTTAATGCTAATAGCGAATTCAACTAGTATATAACGTAATATTTTCATGGTTTATTTTTATTACTCATACATTTATTTTCATTAAACGTAGCCGTGATTATTCTGTGGTAATGTTCTCGATATCTTGACCCTGAAGCTGACTGTAACGGCTGCTAACGCTGTTAGCCGCTAACAGCCGGTCACCGTGTCAGACTGTTGGACAGCCCTGGCTAATGTTGCTTAGTGGCCTCGGCTGGTTCAGCTCCTACGTTTCTCCACTCGGCGATACTGTATTTGCAAAACTCCGTTTAACTCTAAAAGTGTTATCGCATCTTTCAAGACGTTCGGTCTCTCCATATAGACAAATGTTTTTTAGTCTTCGCGTCAAGTTATCTAGATTGTCAAAATGGCGATACTCGGGGAGGGGGCTGAAAACAACAGCTGTGTTTACGCTCTAATGTGGAGGAAATCGTTTCAGGATGTGCGGTAGATATTACTAAGTTATGAAAGATTGGGTTTTTTTATTCTAAGCGGTCAAAATGCAAACTTAATAGCAACACGATTAGCCAATGACTACATTGGTAGTCTTTGGTACCACAAGATGGCGAAAGGATTAACATAAACGTTTCCGTATTTAGTTTTATGTTCACATAAGATATGTATGCATTTGATTAAAGCTGTGGTTTTGTATGCATCATATGGCGACGTTCCCACGTGAATGTTACAGGGATATGTAATGCAGTGTTATGAAATATTTCCCGTTAAACGTGTGCTCGAGAGTTATTTATAATTTTCCGAGAAGTTGTATGATTTTAAAGAGCATGATAAAGTCTTAACATGATACCAAGTTTCACTTAAGTGTAGCTGTGGCTCACAGAATTGGACCATGCTTGACTGACATACTTGTCATAATTGGATTAAGTTGAATTCACAGCCTGTCACTGCATGTATTGGAACCACTTAGTGAAATTCTATGGACTTATATGAGGGCTCAAATTGACATGGCCGATATAAAACTTCCTAAGTCAGGTGTTGTTTTTGTATATCCGAAAATGTTGACTTCTAACCGTTTTTTAAATATGCAAATGTGTGAGATTAACAGTATAATATCAGTCAGACACACAAGGACAGCGAAGGTTGGGAAATCTGGTTTATTTCAGGGCATTTACAGATATCCAAAATATGAAATCTATTATCTTTATAAAGTTATGTCTAAAGACTTTTTATTTTCATTTTTAAGTGAGCTCTGAAGAACAGAAGTATTAACAATTATTTCCTTATTGGCATGGCTCAAATTATACATTGAATAACTTGTGCTACAAAAGAAAAATAAGTGGGGCAGTTGGATGTTTACATACCCTATATAGTGAAGTCCAGGTTTGATGCGAGGCAGAAATGTATATCCAGTAATTTCTCTCTTCAAATACTCTTCACAGACCGTGTGTGCCAGCAGCAAGGTCTCTCCCTCTGGGTCCCCTTCCAGAATGCAGCCACCACTGTCACTAACCTGTATAAAGGCAAGTAAAACATTCTATTATTAGTTCCCTCAAATTGCAGCATTATTTTGAATTGTGGAGAACAGAGTTAAAAGGGACTTTAACATTTTGTTCCCATTAGAGAGTGTAGAGGCCCACCAGCGGAGCTATGACCTGGGTGTTCATTTAGGCCACCAGCGCAGGAATAAAGAGGTGATTGCATGGGTTAAAAAGAGACGACGAACTATAAGACGGGAAGATCTCATCAGCTTCCTCTGTGGCAAAGTTCCACCACCTCGGACAGCTCGTGCACCACCCATAGTTACTATGGTGTCTGCAAGTCGACCATCGCCACCAGAGGCAGATAACTCTGTTGAGGCAGACCTGCAGCCTTTCAGAGAGGCTATAGCCCTGCATGGTGAGTGAGAAATGTCAAGAAACACCAGTGATCTGTTGTAGCTTGAAGTTATATAGACGTCAGTTTGACATTACTGTATAAAATTATTCTCCTAGGTCTCAGTGGTGCCATGGCTAGCATTTCTGTGCGTTCCGGTCCTCCCGGTTCCCCAACACACCCTGCACAGTCTCTTAGTCGACGTCGGAATGGCCTCCACGACATGGACCTTAACACCTTCATAGCAGAGGAGATGGCGCTTCACTTAGATTCTAATGCAACCCGTAAACGAGGCTCAGCACCCCACAGTGACGTCATCACAGACTCACCCACTCATAAACGGAACAGGATGCTGTGAACTGAATGTTCGAACCCTCAGCTGTCCTCTCCTCTGTGGCCAGTTGGACAGACGATAAGAACTGATACCTTGGCCAACCATGAAACTCTTCCTCCTAAGTTGCAATGTTACAAATAAAGAAAAGCTTGAATATAATCAGTCTGCATATTTTCCCCTTATTTTTCCACCCAATTTTCTTTTTCCAATAATAAATTTGTCACTCATCATCCATTGTTTTTTACCCCCAGTGTTCTGATGCAAGCACACATTACTTTTTATCCTTCAATTTCAAAATGTTGCATTTGGATATGGCTTGTGTTACACTTTGTTCTTTTTTTTTTATCTAATGAACCCAGTACACACCTACAGTTTCAGCTTGCATCCCTCCCCATCCTGAACTATTTTTTTTTCTGCAGTGCAGGCCAATATTTGGGCTTTTATGGAGGCTGAACTGCAGCTGTTCGGCTCCACTTGGAAAAAACACCATGTAGATTTTACTCTGCTGCTGTTTTGTGTTGGCGTATTTGACAGCAGAACTGCCACTATTACTGTATCGTACATGTCTGCCTTTTAAGAAAGCTGCTAGAGTATCTGGTTGTGGTGCAACAGTGAGTGTGTGTGTGTGTGTCATATGTTTGTTTCCATCTTTATTAGCTACTTCCCACCATTTACCTTTTATTTGCTCTTATTAAAACAAGGGTTTATTGCAGCATGTCAATAGAATTCATACAGACCAGTAGGCTAATGGCTGGTGTGTTTTTGGCTTAATGTTCTTTGACAAAATACCCTTGCTCTGTCTTATTAGCAGTTCTACACATTAACTGCACTACCATCTGTCAACACAAGAAAGACATGCAGAGTATTGAATAACACACAAATGCATCCTAGTTCTTGCATTACAACCAGTAACAGTGGTCAGAGGCTTGCATTTGAACTGCTTAATGTTTACATTTAAACCATTAGTAGGATCGTAGAGTCTTGCGTTATCATTTTATCTTCCTTTATTTCCATGATGTGCTACACTCATATTTGTGATTTCAGCTTTAAACCTAGAAGGGGCCGGTGGCTGTGAGATTATATTTTGTTTAGCCAGCTCATGGAATAATGGGTGTGTTTAGTTTGGCAAAGACGCTTGTGTTTTTGCTAATTTCACACACTTTTGTGATACAATCTTGTGTAAGCATGTAAATATGTAGGTGCAGTTAATATGTGGTACATATTGTAAAAATAAGTGCTAATCCATTGGCAAGTCCTTGTACAATGATTCTAAAATTAAAAGAATACAAATGTTTTGCTCCTCTTTTTTTTCCAGTGCAGAATACTAAATCCTTTTAAACTGATCTTTCTTAGATCAAGAGAAAGCAATTGGACATGATTTCGACTGTATTATGCAGTGCTTTTTCATTTGGCTACCCTCTTTCTAATCATTTAGAAAGAGTTAATCTTTGCAATATACTTAGTCTTCCTAGTACTGTAAATCAGTTTACAAACTGTAGTTCAACCTTAGAACACATGAGGGCGACACATACTTAAATTATATTACAGGAGCTGAGGTTTACATTTTATGGAAAAGGAATCTTGATTTATATATATAGTAATTGAAAATAAACTTAGTCTTTGACATTCATAAGAACGTATGTCAATTTTTTTAGCTCTGGTCTTGCTAACACTAAAATGAATCAGACAACCTGAAAGTTATATTTACAGTACATATGACATTTAACTCTGAATTACTTTTTACATGCATTTAAGTGTACTTTCAGTGATTTAGACAATAAAAGTTGTTATTACTATGGGCTGCGGCTTTAGGTGAGTCTGAAACGACACCCTTATTTCTTCAAATGTCTTTGTTATTCCTAATCTCAGTGACTGGATAGGAAACAATGAGTCTAGTCATTCCTGCAACTCCAACTTAGTTACTGCTTCTGCATGCATCTAGTAGATGTGATAATGTAGTCACATGAGGACAGAAAGGAGATTTTGTGTGGCGAGAAATGTGTGCATATTGAATAAAAACACTGAAGAATGGAGCATTGAGGGCAGATTCTCACCAACTGTCTGGTGTGTGGTAAAATACATGCTGATATGCTTTTATCAATAATTTGATAAGTATGCTAAAGTAGACATCTTTAATGCATCCTGTAATATATACAGGAGTGTTACCATGGCATCGGTCCCCCATGGCAGCATCCACATCTTAAACTGTTTTGAGAAGGCTATCTTCCAATTTAAGGTGTGTGTAAGGCAGCAACCTGACCATTTTTCAAGGAGAGCATTTTTTGAGGCCATAAACTGAAACTAAGGCCTGGCTCACATTCCACTTGAAATTTTCTTCATACCAGTAAAACTGTTTTTCGCCCTTTGTTACATAGGGTCTGAATAGGACTGAAACCCAATCCATACTACACTCTGTGCACAGGAGGTCTGTATCTGACTCTTCTTTTACCTCTATATGCATTGTTTCCAGCACTGCAATTTTTTCCATGTCTGCCTTGTTGTTTTCCATATTGTGTACATTGTTGGAATAAATCTAATGCGGAACCATGAAAAATAGTTATAAGGAAATTTTGTAACAAAAACTTGATGTAAAAGTAGCATTCTATTATGGTACTATGCTGGGATTCACTGACTTCCTGAGAACAGTTTGTAGAAGCAGCCCATACTCCTTGGTGCTGAATTTTATTAATCTGCTGCAACAGAAGGGATCTAAATTCAATAATTTGAAGGGAGGGAACAAATACGTAGGGAATTCAATGTATATTGATGTATTAGAGCCTTAAGGTATCATGAATTGTTTTCTAATATACTTTAAATAAGCAGATCCTAATAATTTCAAAGAATAAATAAAAGAATAAATTTCAGCTGTGCTTCTGCCATCAACACTTTTGTTTATAAATGTTTGAGATTGGCGTGTTTTTAAGTGTGGTCCTGTTTCCCTGGCTGTGATTTTCCTGGATGGGGCCGCATGTGGAGCTTGTTTACAGTTGCCTTTTGTATCTCTGCTTCTGTCTCCTTGAATCCCAGTCGGCCTCGGCAGATGGCCGCTCACACTGAGCCTGGTTCTGCTTGAGGTTTCTTCCTGTTAAAAGGGAGTTTTTCCATTCCACTGTCACTACAAGCATGCTTGGGGATTGCCTTTGAGTCAATGAGTCGATGCAATCAGCTGGTTTTCCTTAGATAGAAAACTTTGAATTGTTGAATTGTAAAGTGCCTTGAGAAGATGTGTTGTGAAATGGCGTTATATAAATAAACTGAAGTATATTGAATTAAATTAAATGATTTATTTTTGCTAAATCTAAATAATTTCATACAGATATAGTTTCTTGTACCAATGCTGTGGTTTTAAAGGGGCTATTAGACTAAAACTGGATTGCTTAGGTACTGTGTTATGTCATTGCTGCCATTTTCAGATATAATTGTTTGCAGACAATTTTAATAATGTTCATTTAAACTGTGTTACATAACAATATTAGGATATATATCTGCTTTTTTTGTTGAAAAAAGGGTTATGTTTTTATGCCAAAATGTGTTTATTTCAATATTCCTATATGAATAGCAAAAACTGGTCAGGCTGTTAATTAGAGTTTCCAAAGACAAAACAACAAAACTGTTCTTTTGGTTTTCCATCATGCTAAAATAAAATTTTATTCCGTATTATGGCCCAACTATTCACAAATCATCAAAACAATCATCATTGTCATCATCATCGCACCCATGTCACATAAAAATAGAATTAGTTACCATAAGAACACCTTACAGCTCTGTGTAATTTTAGTTCTCGGTTCCTAATTACCGGTAACTAAATAAATTGTATTCTCTTGCTCTTCCCTTATCAATGCTTTCGCTAGTATATTCATAAACCTGTTGGCAAATTTAAAAGAATACACTACAAGGTATTAATTTGAGCTAAATAAAAACATACCATGACAGCACGGCTCAGTTGTTTCTTCCCAGATGCAGCTGATCCAGTAATGAATGCAGTAGAAACTGTATGTAATTTCTTTACCTAGAAAGATACATCAGTAAAAAGAAGAAAAAAAATACCATTGTAGAAAATACATAACAGACAGCTAACTTTTTAGTGCTGTTCAGGGTAATTAAGACCACGACAACAGTAATGTTAACTGGTCTGTTTTCTTTACTGCAACACATTTCTTTCCTATGAGAGCCTCTTAGTTCTATCTGAGGTAGCCCTAGCCATTCCCAGGACTAACTAAGCTCCCAGCAAGTCTTGGACTTCTTTGTTTTTAGATACAAATTCAGCAATGTGTTTCCTGTGAAATCTGTTAGATCACAACTGGTTTCCATGGACTGAATCTTAAATTGTGGTCATCTATAGGGGGATTTCTATTAATAGTGTTATTTGAAGACAGGACCTTATATTCCTTACAGTCGTCACATCTCTTTACCCCAGAGGTGATCGGAAAAGAACAACTCTCTTAATTAGACTTTTACTCTATTTATTTTAAGTCAAGCAGAGAAAATGTTAAACAAATCAGTGATGAGGCTCTTGGCAGATGATAATGCAGCAGCGTAATAAACTAAAAGCATTGAATGGTGAACACATTTGATTTTTATCTTAAGTTACGCTTCTGTAAGGGCTGCCCACCTTTTTATATGACAGCAGTAATTAAATTTGTTACCGCACTGGGTATTATCTGATAGGTTGTATAATAAATAATAAGTGTCTTTTATTTTGTTTTATGGCTTCTGATCAGCCCAGTTAAAGACATTTTGTTCCATTATCAAATCCAGGCCATGCTTTTCTCCAGCCCTGTGTTATTTAACTTTTTGACATACATCAATAAAGGTGATTATTCTTAGCCTACCAAAAATATATCAAACAGTATTTTTTTGCTTCAGCTATGCTTTATATTTCTACCACATTTCCTGTTTTTCACTTATCTCTCCTCTTCTGTTGGTCACCTCATTGTATATTGGCTCGGGGTTGCAAATGCCATGTCAGGACATGGTTTCACGGCAGTCAAAATCTGAAGGTCCTCCAAAGTCAAAAATTAGAATAGCAAATTCAAAAACTAGACTAGCAATTAAAAGAAAATTAGACTAGCAAACGTAAAACACACAATTACATGAAACACCTAGAAAAAGAAAAATGCTTGAAGTATCACCTTCTTAGAAAAGATTGAAAAGAAAATCTTACCCTTTCTTTCTTATACCCTCTTACCCTTCCAAATACCCTCTGAATGGTCATCCTGTTTATGTTTTCACTAATGGTCTTGCAAATAGACGTGGTTGGGTCCTTTCCAGAAACATTCCTGCTGTGGAACATGGCACATTATTCTCCCTAAAGAGGCCACAGTGATCAATGGAGGCTGCACTCACAAAAGAGTGTTCACTATCATCAACAATCATAGGTAGGTGATACATGTCAAAGCAACATCCACTCAGATGGGAGGACTGGCAATACTCAACAAAATATTTAATCTTAACTAGCTTTAACTTCTACAGCGAGC